TTTTTTTTTTTTTTTTTTTTTTTTTTTTTTTTTTCGAGATGCAGCTCGAGGCTTCTGTAGATGACGACTCAGATTTACTCGTGAAGCTCGTTTCAGTTTAGAGTTGGTCACTGAACTCTGATCTCACCTCAGTGGGCAGGTCGGACAGGAACGGCAGGAAGCCTCAGGTCCTGATGAAGAGCGTCTGGGGGGGAAGACGGGGGGGGTGGATTCCTGTCACACATTTTTTTTTTTTTTTCGAGATGCAGCTCGAGGCTTCTGTAGATGACGACTCAGATTTACTCGTGAAGCTCGTTTCAGTTTAGAGTTGGTCACTGAACTCTGATCTCACCTCAGTGGGCAGGTCGGACAGTAACGGCAGGAAGCCTCAGGTCCTGATGAAGAGCGTCTGGGGGTGAAGACGGTGGGGATGTATTCCTGTCACACACACACACACACACACACACACACACATCCGTCAGTCTCAGAGATCACAGATCAGACTGAAGCTGTGGTGCGTTCACTCACAAACACACGCCAGACCCACACAGCCCTTCTGATCCAGAACCGTCGGCTGCCGCTTCTCCAGAGACGCAGCGGGGAAACCTGCCAGAACACAATCACTGACAGAAACCGTTTCCACAACGGGATTAAAAGAGAACTGCAACTTTACTGTATTTCTTGCAATTCAGGCTATTTCTTGCCATTCTGAAAAACAAAAACTTAGAACTGCGAGATTTAAAGTCAGAATTCTAAGTTTACATATTGCAATTTGTTTTTTTTTGTTTTGTTTTTTTGTTTGTTTCTGCGGCTTTCTATTTCACAATTCTGAATTTATATCTTGCAATTCTGACATATCTCGCAATTGTGAATGTTGAGGGTAAAAAGTTTTTTTTGTTTGAGAGAAAAAAAGTTTTTTGAACAGAGAATTATATATCTTGCAATTCTATTTTTCACATTTCACAATTCTGACATTATATTTCGCAATTCTGACTTTATTTCACGCACCCACACAGCCCTTCTGATCCAGAACCGTCGGCTGCCGCTTCTCCAGAGACGCAGCGGGGAAACCTGCCAGAACACAATCACTGACAGAAACCGTTTCCACAACGGGATTAAAAGAGAACTGTAACTTTACTGTATTTCTTGCCATTCTGAAAAACAAAAACTTAGAACTGCGAGATTTAAAGTCGCAATTCTGATAATAAAAAAAGTCAGAATTCTAAGTTTACATATTGCAATTTGTTTGGTTTGTTTTTTTTTGTTTTTGTTTCTGCGGCTTTCTATTTCACAATTCTGAGTTTATATCTTGCAATTCTGACATATCTCGCAATTGTGAATGTTGAGGGTAAAAAGTTTTTTTTGTTTGAGAGAAAAAAAGTTTTTTGAACAGAGAATTATATATCTTGCAATTCTGAATTCTATTTTTCACAATTCTGACATTATATTTCGCAATTCTGACTTTATTTCACGCAAGTCTGAATTACATATTTCTCAGTTCTGAATTATGAGATATGTGATTGATGTAATCATCTAACAGAATCATCAAGTGTAGCTGAATTCTGGTCTCTACAGAGCGCTGTGATGGCGGTCGCGCACGTGTTTCTCAGCATCTCCGTCAGCTGTTGCCGTCTGAAATGATAATCCCTTAGCAACCCCGTCTCCATGGCGACTGCTTCCTCTTTACTGCCAAACATAATAAATAAATGAGTTGAGATGAGCACTAAAAAAAAGATCAGCACCAAGACTAGTTAATATGAGTGTTAATAACAGATATGAATGAGTGACTCTAGAAAGAGTGAATGTGGCACATGACAATCAGCACTTTCTACACAAGTGTTTTTGTCTTGTTTTCCATTACATTTTCAAAAATGTCCTAAATCAAGATAGATTTACTTAAGAAGGAAATTACTTAAGATATTAAATCTTGCTTTATGTATCAAAATGAAGAAAATAAATTATATATATATATATATATATATATATAGTTTGTGTTATATGTTCATGTGTTTTAGGACAACAAATAAAGTTTAAAATATCTATTTTTTATTTTTTTTAATATATTTTCAAAAATATATTGGTAGAAAATATGTTTAGCATATATTTTATCTAATATAATTTTGGCCATTTGCTGAACATTTTAAAAATATATTTAAATATATATATTCTTTGCTGTATGGAAATGGAGTCAGAAAAATAATCTTGTTTTCCTTTTAAATTAAGTGTATTTTTCTGACCTCATTGGAAAATATTTGTTCTTGTTTTAAGCATAAACTCACTTTAATTTGATCAATTTTTTTTATAAAACAAGACTTCATAAATCATTTTGCATCTCCAGTAAATATATCTTGATTTGCATAAAGCAGTGAGTGCCTTATGTTTATCTCTCAGTCAAAAACTGTCCGAATATGAAGTTAATTCAGTGACGTCTGTCTGTTTTTTTAACACATGAGTTTAGACTAATTTTAAATAAAGTCATACGAGCTACTGTTATAACATGGTGTTTTTCCTTTTTTCCTAGAGTTTGACAGAATCCCTGTGAGCTGCTGTTTGATGAAAGAGAGCTGCATGAAGATTTGTCTGAATTTCTACTTTTGTGCATTTTGCTCCTCCTGTAATGATGCTGTTCATAATGTTCAGTCTGTAGTGTGTGTATAATGAATCTGCACGGGAGACACAGCGAGACTCATCTGAGACGATTCAGAGACGCTGTA